TTCTCTAAGCCACAGTTTCCTCACCTGTAGCATGGAGATAACAGTACCCATCTCCCAGTGTTGTTACGAGGGTCAAATGAAATAATATACATAAAAAGACGAACTCGCCTTAACACAGGGTAAGCGGCTGCTATCACCATCATCGTCCTTCTCCTCCACTGCCTCTTCTAGCCTGGAGCGTTTAAACATCACGACGCTGTCGGGGACAATGCCCTTGTTTGACTGATGTTCGTTTCTCCCTCCTTAGGCCTAACAGTTCACAAGGTGGACACTGAAAAATGTCCCATTTGGTCCCCTGACTCTTCCAGAGGAGGCCAGTAAATCTCAAACTGGGACCCCTCCTAGCGCCAGAGAAAAGAACTACAACCAAGGGGGCAGCGGAGCCGCTGACTCAAAAGCCTGCGAACATACATACTAGCCTTCCACGCTCTTGCATCCGTGTGCGAAAGACGCCACTCGGTGGCTTTTTGCTGCCAGTGGATCTGCTGATAAAGTTTGATTTGAATAAATAAGAGACCAGCACCCGCTTTTCCCTAAGCGCTCCTTCCGCCAACAACCCAGAGTCTGAGCGACGCGCAATAGGCGGGTCGAGACTTACGGGGCCGTACCGGAAGTGAGATCACATCTCCCCCGGGGTGAAAGGTTAGCGGAAGTGTGGTTCTTTCTTTTCTACGCTAGGCCCTAGTGGCTGCAGTCGGTGAGTGGAGAGTAGGGGAGGGTCTTCCAATCCACCGCCATCCGCGGCCTGGGGGGTCGAGTTGTAGGACGGTACCGAGTACGTTCCGTTTCTCGGTCTCTGGCGGTTTCGTAGCGAATCCTGTCCTGTGAGCAGGCCTGCGGGGGCCGGGGCCAGGACGGCAGTAAGCGCAGCCTGAAGCTCCGGCCCCGCACGCAACCTGGGCTTGCGAATTTCTCAGTGGCCCCTTTTTCCTTTCTGCAGAAATGGGCAAGTTTATGAAACCCGGGAAGGTGGTGCTGGTCCTGGCTGGACGCTACTCCGGACGCAAAGCGGTCATCGTGAAGGTACCAGCCGCGCGAGCCTGTATGCCCGTGTTTCCCGGGAATCGGGCCGGTTTCGGAGGGCGGCGAGCTTGGAATGCAAGAACTAGTTCAGGACGGGAACCCTTGAGCATTGCGGGTGGAGGAGGGATTGAAGAGAGCTTTTGGAAGAGGGAAGTGGAGAATAAAAACAAAAGAGCTCAATTGGGCACCCACATCAGGACGTGTCCTGTACGCAGGAGACCTGAAATAGTCATTACGGCCAGCGTTCACTGAACGCTTGTTCGGTGCCTGGCACACTGATTGACAGGTGTCTTCGTGTCCGTTCCTTGCCGGAACCATAGGGGATTCGTTTGGAGAGGGTCACTGATTCACCTGAGGTCGAGCAGGGAGTAAGGGCTGCAGCTGGGATTCGGGAAAAACAGGAGGAAGTATTTACGCCCCAAATGGCCATTGAGCATGTTATGCCGTTCTGGGTGTGTGGGGGACACGGGCACTCGTGGTTCCTCGGCCCCCGCCTGCTTGAGGCCGGTCTCTGGGCATAGCCAGCCAGTTCGGGGACCCTCCCTCCACCCCCTTCCAGCAGAGCCCTCCGGGTGGAGGAAGTTTAGGATTGTCAAGACCTAAGAGGCAGTGCTTGGGGCGGAGCGAGCCCTGCATAAATGTTAGCTGTTGTTTTAAATCTCTGACTGCTGGGAGCCTTTCCAGATCCTCCCTGGTGGGCATGAATCCCGCCCTCACCCCTACTGCCCTTCACTGTCTGCTTCGGGTGGTTTCCTTCTGTAGGATGGTGGGTCTCAGAGACCTGGGAGCGGGGGTGACCCTTCGATGCCTGCTGTGCTTGCAGCTGGCACAGGGCCTAGGTGGGCGCCGAACTGATAACAAATGTCATTCTTGCTCTTTCAGAACATCGACGATGGCACGTCAGACCGCCCCTACAGCCACGCTCTGGTGGCTGGCATTGACCGCTATCCCCGCAAAGTGACAGCCGCCATGGGCAAGAAGAAAATCGCCAAGAGGTCTAAGATCAAGTCTTTTGTGAAAGTGTATAACTACAATCACCTCATGCCCACGAGGTGAGCATTTCAGGGATGGGAATGAAAGTTCCTGTTTTCTTTACCCGCCTGTCCGTCCGCCTTGCTGGGTAAGAAGACAACCTTGCAACCATCCAGTGTGGGGGAAATTCTCAGTCTTGAGTAAAGGTTTGTTTCCCTTGTTTCCATCCACTGCAAACTCGGGCATGGGATGCGGCCCGCCCTCCTCGAGGCAGACCCTGCACTGGCAGAGCCTGACCAGGACCGAGTGCAGTGAGACAGCATGGTAGCCACCGCCCACCGTCACAGTGCAGTTCTGTTAAAGTGATGCTGCTTAGCAAGAAACTGAGTAGTTGGGAGAGTTGAGAATGAAGCGTGAGCTTTTTCAGTGGCTTAAATCTATGTAAATGAGTCCACTGATATTGGAGATCTCCCAAGCCTGTCATCAGGACTCTGGGGCAGCTTTTAATTACCGCTCCCATGGAGTCAGATCCTGGCACTCAGCGTCCCAGGAGGATGTGGTAGCATGTGAGCTGATCCTGCCTCCTCTCTGTTGCCCCCAGATACTCTGTGGATATCCCCCTGGACAAAACTGTCGTCAACAAGGACATCTTCAGGGACCCTGCTCTGAAACGCAAGGCCCGACGGGAGGCCAAGGTCAAGTTCGAAGAGAGGTAAGCTAGGGTCTGGTGGTGGCTGTTGGGGTATGGTGTCACTAATTCCCATGAAGGGGATTTCGTCTCTTCATTCCTCTTCTCATTGGTGACCTCTTTTCCTCTCTAGGTACAAGACCGGCAAGAACAAATGGTTCTTCCAGAAGCTGCGGTTTTAGATCTTTTTTGTTTCAGTCATTAAAAATCCAAAAAAAAAATCCATGTGTCTGCCTGTTGCATGTATTATTAGTCTGGGAAAGGAGCACAGTCATAAGATGAAACACGAGTGGGTGAGGGGCTGTGGGAAAATGCAAACATATAAAAGCTAAATCCGCCTCTGTGGTTATCAGCCCGAGCACTAGTCTGAGTCTCACGAAGGGTGAAGTGTGATCTGCTGAACAGCTTCCCAGGAGGGCCCCAGCTCACATTCTGAGGGGCAGAGATGTCCCACCATCCCTGGCCTCTGCTGGCACCTAGAGAACCTGCACCACCCGCCCCCATAACCAGTTGTGATGGCCAGAGGCCCCTCTGACCAGGTGGGCACAGGCTACCCTGGATTGAGAACTAACCTTAGGTTCTCGAACCTTGCAGTGGTGGTTTGACAAACCGGAGTCCCTCCCTGTGATTTGGATTTGGTTGGAGAATCTCTAGCTGGTTCTCCGATGAGGACCACACGGAGGGGAGTGGAGGCCCAGAGCCACAGTTCTTAGTGGAACTGAGGAGAGGTCCCCTAACAACCTGGCCAGCAGAGACTGGCAATGCCAGGAAAGGATGATTCAAGGGGTGTGGGACACTTGGGACCCTGTTTTACAGATGAAATAGGCTCTCCAGCTGAGCTGGTTGTAAGTCACTAGAAGAAACTAGAGGCCAAGGGCCTGTTTGCCAAGCCTGAGGCACTTACCACGCTTCTACCTGAGGTGGGAACCTTGAGAAAGAGGCCCAATAAGTACCTCGGTGTAAAAACCCTGGACTAGGTGAAAATACTAGGAAACATCACTTTGTACATTCATTTTGGCTTCTCACCTTTATGTGTTGGGCATCTCTTACTGAGACACTCCTGTTAGCTTGTCTACTCAGTCACAAATGAAAAGGAATTTAAACTCTCCTTTGACTAAAAGTTCAAATTGTTGCACTGTTTGGTGTGGCTCAGTGGATTGAATGCAGGCCTGCAAACCAAAAGGTCACCAGTTCGATTCCTGGTCAGGGTACATGCCTGGGTTGCGAGCCATGTCCCCGAGTGGGCAGCGTGTGTCTCACACTTTGATGTTTCTCGCCTCCCTTCCCATCTCAAAAAAAAAAAAAAGGTCTCTGCCTCAAGTACAAGTTCAAATGTCCAACCAGGTTTGGATACATACTTCACTTTCTATAATGTGACATTGGGCAAATGTTTATAATAATGTGCTTCAGAAGTTTAGACTCTCATCTGTAAAATCAGTAAAGTAGAACTAAGAGGAATTGTTTTAAATACTGAGTTCAGGCTTTGGGACCATGTGAGAGGCAACCACACACTGACGTTTCCCTCTCTCCCTCCTTTCCCCTCTCTGTATAAATAAAATCTATATATATATATATATTTTTTTGAAGGTTAAAAAGGCTTTTACTTTTCTTATATTTTTAATTCTGTTTTAATCATTGTTCAAGTAGTTTTCTGTTATATATTTTTTAATTTAAAAAATAAATAAAGATTAGCCCTGGCTGGCATAGCTCAGTGGATTGAGCGCGGGCTGCGAACCAAAGCATCGCAGGTTCGAGTCCCAGTCAGGGCACATGCCTGGGTTGTAGGCCACAGCCCCCAGCAACTGCACATTGATGTTTCTCTCTCTCTCTCTCTCCCTCCCTTCCCTCTCTAAAAATAAATAAAATCTTGTAAAAAAAAGTAAAACCTTTTTTTAAAATTTAAATAAAGATTGAGTTTAATTCATGCAAAGCAGAACCAGTACTGGGCACAAAACAGCCCTCAACAAATTAGGTATTATGACAGCTTTGTGAACTTGACGGAGATTTGTTCTGGTTGCATTTGTCATTCAATTGTTTCATCAATGTCTACATGTGCCTGGCATGATTCTGAGCTGTAGGGAAATATCTATTAACAAAGCAGACGAAATTCTACCAGTGGCCTGCTGGGATCGACAGGGTATGAATGGCTGATTGGGGCCAGAATTCAGTTTGTATTTCAAAAGGTAGCTTCCCCTGAGGCTCATAGCAGAGCAAAGTCGACCTAGAGACCAGAAAGGCTCCTCCTAGGGGTGGGGAAAAACCAGCTGGGGGCGTGTGAACACGAAAGGGCAGGGATTTATCTGAAATGAAAGTGGAAGTAAAGAGCCAGCACGCAGAGCCATTTGAACTGCATCTCAGAAGGTAGACCCCAGACTTCAGTCTGGTGGCTTCTGCCCCTTTGTTTCCAGCTCTGAAGACGCAGGCGGCCCTGCCACCCAGACCCCAGACCCATGTCAGTGACTGAAGACAATGTAAGTGAGGAGGACGCTGTTGGGGGTCGGGAGCAGCAGAGGAGCGCTCCTCTCGGCAGGGCTGGGTGGCCAGGCCGCTCCCCGTCCACCTGCTGGAGCTGCTGAGAGTCTAGGGAGAAGCCTGGCTGGGTTTTCCTCTCCCCTGGGTAGCTCAGTTGGTTAGAGCCTTAACCCAATACACTAGGGTTTCTGGTTCGATCCTCACGTGGGGCACATACAAGAGGCAGCCAATGAATGCACAGGCAGGTGGAGCAACAAATGGATGTTTCTCTATGTAAGATCAATAATTTTTTTTAAATCTTTTAGAAAAGACGATAAATCAATGAATGCATAAATAATTGAAATAACAAAATAAATGGAACAAATTGATGTTTCTCTCTAAAAAATCAATAAAAAATAAATAAAAGAATTGCTCTAATGACAATTCTAAACATTTAAGAAATGTTCTCATTCTTAACTTCCTGAGATCTTCCCCAGCAAATTCTGCTTCTCCTTGTAGTTGCATCCCAACCTTGGGCCCTCCTCCCGCTCAGAGGAAGAAGTGTACCTCCTCCGAGAGCTAACCTCCCCCTGCCTGTCATGCCACCATTTCCTGGCCTGCACACGCCCAGACTCACGCCAGACTCGGCTCTGTGAGGACCGGTCCCTGGTCTGGCCGGTTCACTCTCGATCCCCAGTGCCTGGCACGGTTCCAGGCATGCAGCAGACACTCAATAAACAGCTGATGGATGAATGAGTCTCATCCACTCTCCAGTTACGTCCGTCTTTCCTTCCCTGATAGCACCCTGTTACCAATACACTTAGAAATTTTTCATTTGCCCTTTCAATGTCACATGAAAGACCACGGGCTCTAGCGCCAGCCCGCCTGGTTCCAAATCCTGGTCCCTGCAACTGTGTGGCCCTAGGCAAATTATTCTTCTCTCTAAAGCTGTCATCTAAGCCCCATTTCCTTATCCATAAGATGAGTATTGTAGCCCTGGCCAGGTGGCTCAGTTGGTTGGAGCGTCATCTCATACATCAAAAAGTTGGTGGTTTGATCCCCAGTCAGGGCACATACATAGGTTGCGGGTTTGATCCACACCCGGGGTGCAAAGGGAAACAACCAATCAATGTTTCTCTCTCTTTCTCTTTCTTTGTCTCTCTTCCTCTCTCTCTCTCCCAAATAAATAAACATATCCTCAGTTGAAGACTTTTAAAATGTTTAAAATATGAGTTATAGCAAAGCTTTCTTATAAGAGTACTTAACTGTAAGAATCCAACTAGATAACCCATAAATTAATACAGTAAAAACACATTTTGGCACATACTAAGCACTTAATACATGTTCATTATTGTTACTATTATCACCACCCTTTTCAGAACCCAGTTCCCCAGGACCATCTTTTTCTTTTTCTTTTTTTTTTTATTTCTATTTTTTAGAGAGAGGGGAAGGGAGGGAGAGGAGAGTAACATTGATCAGTTGCCTCCTGCACGCCCCCAGACGGGGACCTGGCCCGCAGCCCAGGCATGTGCCCTGACTGGGTATCAAACCGGGTACCTCTCATTTCTCAGGCTGGCACTCGGTCCATCCACCAAACCACACCAGCCAGCGGGCAGGACCACCTTGATTCACCCCCACCTCAGGCCTACCTGTCTGCTAAAACTCCTTTAAAGGGCCTTTATGTATTAACTTTCTGGAAAGTGGGTCCAGAAAGCTGGTTTTTTGTTTTAATCACACTAAATTCATTATTGAGAGACGACCTTTATTAATAACATCTTGGTGTCTGTCTTCCCAGAGTTCTTATGCATTAATAAATATCCTTATGAATTAAAACTTTTTAAAATTGTTTAAAGATTTTATTTATTTATTTTTAGAGAGGGAAGGGAAGGAGAAAGAGAGAGAGAGAAACATCAATGTGCAGTTGCTGGGGGCCGTGGCCTGCAACCCAGGCATGTGCCCTGACTGGGAATCGAACCTGCGATGCTTTGGTTTGCAGCCCGCGCTCAATCCACTGAGCTACGCCACCCAGGGCTAAAACTTTCTTTAAAGATTTTACTTATTTACTTTTTATAGAGAGGGGAAGGGGGGAGAAAGAGGGAGAGAAACATCAGTGTGTAAGATATATTGATCAGTTGCCTCGCCCACACCCCCTACTGGGGAACCTTGCCAGCAATCCAGGCCTGTGCCCTGATTGGGAACCGAACTGGTGACCGTTTGGTTCACAGATCAGCACTCAGTCCACTGAGGCACACCAGCCAGGGCTGAATTAAAACTTTTTAAATTGACAGACTAGGCACCCTACCTTATATATAGTTTTATATTTTGCTCTTCTGTCTGATTGTGGGCATTTTCTCCATGCTGCTAAATGTTCATTAATGTCTTTTAATTGCTACATCATATTTTATATTTATTTGGCTATCCCTCTGTGGTTGGACATGTTCTCTTGTTGTAAACAAAGCTACAATAATAAGAATTCTTGTACATGAATTTCTGGCCGTTTCCTTATGATAAGTAGAGTTTGTTTTTTCTCAGTCTCAATGGTCTTTTTCCCATTCTTCATCTTAGTCGGCTTGTTAGCAGCACTTGGCCCAGCTGCTAGGTCCTCCTCTTCCTCTTCCTCCTCCTCCTTGATCTCTCTTCATCCTTCGCGCCTCTCCTCTCAGGTTTCCCCAGCCAGTCCTCTGCATTCTCCTCGGCTGGTTCTTCCTTGTTCCCCTGACCTCCTGGTGTCGGGTGCCCCAGAAATCAGCCCTCGGACCTCTTTTCTGTCTACACTCACCCCTGTTGCTCTCATTTAGCTTTATGACTTTAAATCTCTCTGCATAGGTCATTCCCAAATGCATACTCCCAGCCTAAACCTCTTCCCCGCTGAATGCTAGACTGGTAGAAGCACTGCCACTATAGGTCTCGACCGAGATGTTGAATAGGCACTTCATACTGAGCATGCCCAAAACAATCCCCTAACTTTCTGTCCCAAACTTCTTCGACCCACAGTCTCTCCCATCTCAGCGAATGGCTTTTCTTCCCTCCAGCTTCCAAAAAAGGCTCAGATCCAAAAGCTTAAGAGTCATCCCAGACTCCTCTCTCTCTTCCACACCCTGTTTCTCATCTATCAGCAATTACAGTCTATCTTGACTTTTTTTTTTTTTTTTCACTTTTATAGACTCTTGAGTACTCCTCACCACCTCTGCTGCTACCACCTGGTCACTAACACCACTCACCTGGACTCTGCAATGGCCTCCTCTGTGATCTCCCTGCCTGGGCCGATTCCCCACACCAGTCTGTTCACGTAACAGCCAAGGAATCGTGCTAACACTTAAGCCTGCCTGTGGCTTCCCCCCTCACGTGGAGTAAAAGGCCCTGCGTGATCCCACCCCATTTCCTCTGTGACTTCACTTCCAACCCCTCTCCCTCCCTCCCTCAGTTCCAGCCACACTGCCCTCCTTGCTATCCCCCAGATACACCCAACAAACTCCCACCTCAGGGCCTTTGCACTTGCTGTTCCCTCTGCATGGCTCCTGCTCCTCCTCCTCCAAGTGTGTGCTGAGCTGTCTCAGGGAGGCCTATTCTTATCACCCCATTTAAAACTGTCCTCCGGCATTCTCTGTCCTCCCTTCCCTGCTTTGTTTTTATCCATAACACTTATCACTAACATGATACACATTTTACTTAGCTATTCTGCTTACTGTCTGGCTCATCCCCTAGAATGTAAACTCCACGAGGAAGTTCCGTCTGTTTTGCTCACTTCCGGGGCCCCAGGGCCTAGGACAGGGCCCGGCAAACGGTGGATGTGAATTGACTGTTAAGTGAGTGGGTGAGGAGGCGGTGAGCGGTGAGCAAGTGGCCTGCTGGTGGCCCCCTCCCCTCAGCTCGGTTTCGCCCCTCTTCCTCCTTGGTGTCTGACCCTCCCCAGGCCTGGCCCTGGTGCCGCTCATCTCTGACCGTGTCTTCTGTTTCTTCTCTGCATTCTCTCCTGGCCCCTGACCACGTCGCCTGGAAGAGCGCATTTTTAAGGCTCTTTTCCCCAGAGAGCTCTCCCATCCTCCTGGCTTCGACCACCAGCACGTGCTGTTCCAACCCAGGGTCCTACCCACCAAGTCTTGTCCCTGACCTGGGTCTTCAGTAGCCTTGGGTTTGACTGACTTTGGCTCATTAGTCAACCTTGGTGCATCTCAGGTTTCCTTTTATGGGAAATGGAGTTTATTGAAATAGAAAACACGTGACATAGCACTTACGTGCCAGGCGCCACGTCCAAACGAAATTAAATACAGGTGGAAACAGCTAGTCTGCCCGTTTTACAGGTGAGGAAACCAAGGCACAGAGAGTTAAAAAAAAAAAATCTTGCAGTAGTCACAGGAGCTGATGTAAACCTCAGGGGTCTGGCCCCAATTTGTGCTCCTAACCATTGTCCTAACCTGCCTCCTGCGATGAGCATGGATGGCCTGAGATTTTACCTTATGCGGCGGCGAGGGTCTAAAGTCAGCGAGTAAGGCGGAAGAATGAATGTGTGTAGTGAAAAGTAACCTTACACCATGGACTTAACCCAAAAGCATCCGGTATTTACAGTCTCTCGGGGAGCTCAGTGTAGAGTGGACGGCAGGTTTGTTTCGGTTGAGCTTCAGATGGACAGCGGCTTGCATTTACAGACCACACATGAACAGCCTGTATAGTTGGATTCAAGTGACTGCAATTGACCTGTGTTGTCGTTAAGAGGGTCCTGGAAGAGACAAGTATCAGTTGGGAGTTGGAGACGAGAGGCAGTTTTGTGATAGTTAAATGACCTGGGGCCCAACCCTGCCCGGCACTTAGCAGGCCTGGCCCTCTTTCTTTGCCCCCTGGGCCAGTGGCATTACACCACACTCCCATGGGGCGCCCAGGTCTGCCACCTGGCATCGTCTCTCCGGGTCATTCCCGTCCATCTCCTTAATGCAAACACCCACGGAGCCTGGGGGCTTCTCCTCACGAAACGTAGTCACCCACATGCTCCCTCGTGCCTCCCGCGGGAGCCCCAGGTCAGCTCCTGTCGGGTCAGTGGAAACCGGAGACGGGGAGCCCGCGCTTGCTTCCCTCGCTCCACAGCTCCCGCCCCAGTTCACTAGTTCACTCCGCCGCCACCATTGCCCGGGCCTCGGTCCAACACCACATCCGGCGCCTCACTCCTCCTTTCGGAAATCCCCGCTATTCCCCTTTTCCTGCCTGCTTCACATCTAAACTCTCCGGACTGAGTTTTTCTGTAAATACTCTTATCTATGAAGCTACTGTTTATTTTTATTAAGCTATTTATTAAATAGCATTGCCAATTACCGGATTTTCAACTAAGTATCATTAGATCAAGATTTAAAGCAAGCCCTGGCTGGTGTGGCTCAGTGGGCTGGGGTCGTCCTGTGAACTGAAAGGTCAGGTCGCCGGTTTGATTCCCAGTCAGGGCACATGTCTAGGTTGCAGGCCAGGCCCCCAGCTGGGGGCCTGCGAGACCCAATCAATGGTTCTTTTGCACATCAATGTTTCTCTCCCTCTCTTTCTCCCTCCCTTCCCTTCTCTCTGAAAATAAATAAATAAAATATTTTAATTAAAAAAAAGATTTAAAGCAGAAGTAAAAAGAGATTGGACTGTGGACTGAATCCAGCCCACTAATATGTTTTATTTTTCATATATTTTTTTAAACACGGAGCCATATTTTTTCAAATAAAAATCCAGATTTCTGGTTTTCCTTAAAAATGAGAAGATAAGGGACACCGGGACCTCATTCCCATGGAGAAAATCCCGATTAGAGCTAAGACGAGGCTGCCACTTCAGCGGGGACGTGCTCCCCAGTTTGTCAGAGTCCCCACCACTCCCCATCTCCCTCTCCTGGTTCCCTTGACTCACTGATGTCATCTAACCGGCCCTTAAAGGTATCACGTTTACAACCCCTTGTTTGCAGAAATGTAAAGAATGAGGCACATTTCTCACTAGTCGTAAACCAGCATTATTCAAGCCCTAGCTTTCCTCTGCTTTAAACAGTGAACTCACTGAATGTCTTCCATGCCCTCTGCTATACGCTTCCATCCTATTATGTATTCACTTCATTCATTCAATACACATTTGCCAAGAGCTTGTTTTGTGCCAGGGACTCTACGGAGCACTGGCGATACAGAGAGGACCAGGACACAGGCCCGTCTCCCTTCGTGAGTTCACACGTAGACTCTGGGGTGACCTTATTTACCAGGCTTCCCAACCAACCACAGGGTGCACTCTGCCAGCTGATGTCTGCTCCAACCCACAAACAAAGGTGCGTTTATCCGCATCCTTGGTGTCCTTCCCCTGCCTGTGTTGTCAGCGTGCGGGCGCGCTCTCTCCTTCTCTCTCTCTCTCTCTCCCTGCTCCAAATCACTCCCACCCTGAAAGGCTGCTTGGCACAGCAGAAAGGGTGGCAGCCAAGAGGCAAGCTGGGAGGTGTGGGGTAAATTACTCCCCAACTCTGGGTTTAATTTCTTCATTGTAGAGAACAAATTGGCAGCGAGGAGTCAGACTGCCTAGGACTGAATTACTTCCGGCAAGTCACTCAACCTCTCTGAGCTTCGGTTTCCTCATCTGTAAAATAAGGATAAGAGGGTATTTATCTCATAGGGCTGTTGGTAGAACTGAGTGATAGAATGCATCTAAATGGCTTAGCGCCGGTGTGCGCCCTCTCGGGAGCACGCATGCGCCTTTCTGTCCCTGTTCTTCCCCTCCCAGCACCACCTTGGCCTCTCTCTCCTGAGCTCCGAGGGCCTTTCTTCGGCCTCTGTACCTTGTTTCCTGAGTCCATGCGCCCAGCCGGCTCACTCCTACTACATCTATAGGCTTCTAAATAAACTTTCTCCATACATTGAAAAGAAATTAAAGGTTTTATTTATTTTTAGAGAGAGGGGAAGGGAGAAAGAAAGGAAGAGAAACATGGATGTGTGATCGATAGGTTGCCTCTCACCTGCCCACAACTGGGGGGGCCTGGCCCACAACCCAGGCACGTGCCCTGACCAGGAACTGAACCAGCAAACTTTTTGATTCACAGGCTGGCACTCAATCCACTGAGCCACACCAGCCAGGGCTGAAAAAAAAAGGTTTTTTAAATTTATTTTTTAGAGAGGGAAGGGAAGGAGAGAGAGAGAGAGAGAAACATCAATGTGCAGTTGCTGGGGGTCATGGCCTGCAACCCAGGCATGTGCCCTGACTGGGAATTGAACCTGCGACACTTTGGTTCGAAGCCCGAGCTGAATCCACTGAGCTACGCCAGCCAGGGGAAAATTTTTTTTAATTAAAAAAAAATGGCTTAGCACAATGCCTGACATGTTTGTGCTTAATACATGTTAGCTAATAATATTATGACATTTTGCAATTCTAAGCACTCGCTCCTCCGGGAGGCCTCGCTGGCTGAGTTAACCCCTTTGTGACTGCCCCTCTTCCGAACTCCTGCTGTCCTCCACAGCCATCTGTGTGACTGTGCACAGTCTGGGGCCGTTTTGTACAGGCCTGAGGGATGCCCTGGTCTCCCGCTGCCCTGTGCCAGTACCTAGGACCTCACAGCAGGAGCTCCACCAGTGTTTGTGAAACTCTAGGTCTCCATAATAAACCAGCCACGGCTGCTGCAAAGGCCCCTGCCCTTCAGAGGGTGGCTGAGGCCACCAGGTTCTGAGCAGAGGTGGGCCAGGACCAGCTCAGGGCCCCATCAAGGGGCTGGGTTGTTCTTGGGCTGAGCATCAACTCTGATCCTGGAGAGTCCAGAATAAGCACCCCCGTCCCTGGGCTCATTTCACTGTCCAGGGAGGCCAGTGGACATTTGGTCATTCCCCTCTGCTCGAACAGGCAGACTACAAAGAGAGTCTATTCCACTCCATTCAGAAGGAGCAGATCAGACTCAAGATGAAGCTGCAGCAGCTGCAGAAGCTGAAAGAGGAGCGCCGGAACTCTCCCCAAAACAAGGTAAGCTGGGAGAAGGGGTGGAGCCTGGTAGAAAAAGCCGGAGAGTTCTTAGTTTCATTCCTGGCTGGGCCACTTCTTGCTGTGTGACCTTGACTATGTTACTTGAACTCTCTGGATCTGTTTCTTCATCTGTAAAGTGGAGCTGCCTCCCCCACAGCCTTGTGCAAGGACAAACTAAGATCTTGCATGTGAAGTGCTGGAACAGGCTTGACCTGCTTTCACCCACCCCTTCATCCAGCTCTTCCCTCGTACCCAATAAATGTATTCACCCCTTGTACTCGGTATCATCACGTGGAACTGGGAACGCTTTCTTCCTGGGAGGGAGTGGGGAACTCTCGCACCCTGGAAGGCTGCATCGGCCTCCCCTCCCCCACCTCCAGGTCCCATTCCCAATACCTGAAGTCCCCCTGGTGTTCCGAGGACACACTCAGCAAGGCAGGGAGATGCCCAGGTCTTTGATTTCCGACCTGAAGATCTGCTACCCTCTGCCTGGAGGCTCAGCCCTGGTCACCTTCGATGACCCCAGTGGTGAGCTCTCGGGGAAGTGCTGGGGGGGGGGGAGGCTTCTCAGTGCTGATCCTGCTCCTTCCACCCAGTGGCCAAGCAGGTGCTACAACTAAAGGAGCATAAGATCGACCTGGAACAGTGCCGGCTGCGGGTGCAGGTCCAGCCCGTGGAGCTGCCCATGGTGACAAGCATCCAGGTGAAGGAATGGAGAGTCCCGGGACATGAAGGGGGTGAGGTGCACCTGGACACTGAGGCGTGGGGGTGTGCCTGGGACCATGCCTACTTGTGTCCTCTCAGGTGTCCAGCCAGATGAGTAGCCAGAGGGTGCTGGTCAGCGGGTTTCCTCCTGGGCTCAAGCTGAGTGAGGAGGAGCTGCTGGACAAGCTGGAGATCTTCTTTGGCAAGACCAGGAATGGGGGTGGAGACGTGGAAACTCGGGAACTGCTGCATGGCGGCGGCGTCATGCTGGGCTTTGTTAAGGATGAAGGTAAGGGCCCTACCAGGGGGGTTATGGCAGATGCGTCAGGCCCTGGAGGAAGAAGGCCCTTGGTGCTAAAGGTCTGCCCCTTCCTGTCCCTGCAGTGGCCCAGAACCTGTGCCGGATTGGCCAGTTCACAGTGCCACTGGGTGGGCAGAAGGTCCCTCTGAAAGTCTCCCCCTACATGAGTGCAGAGATTCAGAAGGCAGAGGTAAGTAGGACGGTGGAGACTGGGCCATTCGACCCGTCTGCCTGCCAGAAACTAGCCCAGGGAAGAGTATGAGCCCCCAAACCCTGCTGACCTACCCACTGCCGGCCCTTCCAGGCCTCCTGCCTGTGCTCCCTTGGGCACTGCTTGCTCCCGTCTCTGTCCCTGGCCCCTAGCCCTCACAAGCCTTTGCCCATCTCCCAACTCCTTTTCCAGGTCAGGCCCCAGCCAGTGCCCCAGTCAGTGCTGGTACTCAACATCCCCGACGTCCTGGAAGGCCCGGAGCTGCATGACGTCCTGGAGGTCCACTTCCAGAAGCCCACCCGCGGGGGAGGGGAGGTGGAGGCCCTGACCGCCGTGCCCCCGGGAGAGCGGAGACTGGCGTTGTTCACTGCCTCGGAGTCGGCCTAGGAGCCCGCCCTTCTCACACTGGGCTGGGGCCAGGGACACACGGACGGGCGGGCGAGATCGGGCCAGTCAATGGCGGGCAGGGACTCCAGGTTGCGAAACGCAGCCCCAGAACAGTAAAAGTGTCTGCATGGCAGGATCTTCTTCCTCATTTTATTTCATGAAAGGAAACTCGATTCGGGCATGGAAACGGTCGGGGGGGGGGGGGGGCGGGGCAGAAACCCTAACTGTCCGTCAGCACTGGTCCTTCGCCGGCTCACCTTCCCCTCCACGCTTACACGGCGGCATCCAGGAACAGGGTTTGGCTTTTTATTGACACAAACACAAAAGGCAGCTTCGGTAACGGGGTGGGGTACACAGAAGCAGAAGTCGCACTTCACACCACGCAGGCCTCACTTGGACAGCGAAGAGGCTGAGCCCTCCCCACCACCTCCCGTTGGCAATGGCTGGGGCAATAACCCTTCTTCATTCCAGCTTAGAGAGCAGAGGGAGCGACACCCCTACCCGAGGAAGTCCCCGCTTTGGTTCCAGTGGCCCAGGTCCTAGCCCCGCCACCCTCCCCCTCCCCCACCCCCACCCCCAGTTTTACTCCCCTGCTCCACCTCCCCCCACCCAGGTAAACGAAGTCTGGGGCTGCGCTGGAAAAGGTGCCGCCCTGCTCCGAGGAGGCAGGGGGCAGGGAGCCTCCCATGACCGAGGGGGGATGTGCTTCAATGTTTACTTTGGTCCCAGAACAACAAATAGTAGCATTGCCTCCCAGGGCTCTGGCTGTGAATGCCACACTTATCTGCAAGGCTGAGAAAACGTCCCCGCCTCTTTCTCCTCAAGCACTGACAGAGAAATGACAGTCTCCGCAGACAGACGGGACATGGCACAGAACCCCGGGGGCGAGGGGCTGCCCCCCTCCCTGCCCCCACCCCCGACCCTGGCACACACACAGATTTTTGGCAGTGTCGTGGGACTGGGGAGCAGCAAAACCCCAGCTCCACCCGAACGAGGAAGGCACTGGGGAGTACCGGGGTGGAGAAGGAGGTGCGAGACAGGGACCCCCCCTACATACACAAGCACAGGTTTTCCACTGCTAAGGCACTGAGAACAAATCCAGAGAACTCAGTGAAGGCGGGGGCTCCGCGTCCCTCCCTGGGGGAGCAGGTGCGATCCCCGCCCTTGCTGTAAGAGGCAACCTTGGTTAAGAGTGGCAGCAAGCCTGGAGGTGGAACAAGCCCAGTTGTGCTTAAGACGTTGGGGACGAGAGGACGAGGCCATGCCGTGAGGCAAGGGGGTTCACAGGTGGGCACCGGTCGGCCTGGGGCGGAAGGGACACTCGGGCAAAACAGGGACGTGCTGGACTCACACAGATTGGCCCCATATCCTGAGCTGACATTTCAATTCTTTGGGGAGGTCGTGGGGCAGGGGCGGGAGGGGAGGTGAGGCGGAGGCGGAGGCGGAAGCACGCGGAAGGGAACGGGAAGGGATTGGCTAACCTTGGCACGAAAGCAGCACAACAGGCCCGGGGAAAGGGTGGGGGCAGGAAGCAGCCGGTCTCCCTCTGACCCTCCCTGTCCCCTTGGCAGGGCCCAGACATCCAAGTGGTCACTTCCCACCCTCTTCAGAGGGCAGGAAGGAGGGAGGGGGCAGCCTTGGCTACAGAGAAAGAATAGGGCAGGGGAGAGGTCATCACCGCGGAGACCTTGGGGAGAGAGAGAGCAGAGCTTCATGACACACGACGAAATTCAGAGGGTCTGGCGGTCCACGTAAATGGCTTCCCAGCTTCTCTCTTCCCGGGTCCCAGGGGTCTCCCAGCCCCGCCCTAGTTTTCCTTCTCTGGCCCAGGTACCAAGATGACTTTGCCCACGTTCTTCTTCTCCTGTATCTGCTTCATGGCATCCGCCACCTGAAGAAGACAACGAGACCCTGCTCCCAGTGCCATCCAGCACCCCCCTCCCCAGAGCCAGCCTAGAGGAGGAGGCTCTCCTCCTCCCAGGACCCCCACCCTGGGACCCCCACCCCCAGAGTCCTGCCCAGGCCCCCTCAGCACAGCCACCGCAGCCACAACACTCACCTTTTCGAAGGGCCACACGGAGTCAACGTGAGGTTTGATGTGGCCCTGGTTGTACAGAGCCAGGAGGCGGGCCACCACGCCGCTGATCAGCTCCACCTCGCCATCCAGGTAGCCCAGGTGGTAGCCACACACCGCCCGGTTGGCCGGCAGCAGCTGCAGGGCTGTCACGCTGAACTGATGCCACCACGTGCGAGCCATGGTCATCAGGCTCCGCTTGGAGCCCGTCAGCAGGTTGGCCACTCCTGAGAGACAAGGAGGCGCAGCCCGTGAACCCAGGTGCCAGGCGCATCCCTGCGTGTCTGGATGCACGTTCATCCGCCCTCGAGGGGCCCCTTACAACCACCCACACCAGTGCCGGGGAGTGCCGGGGTAAGCCCTGACCGGCAGGCTACCAGGCCCCAAAAGATTCCAACAAACTTGAAAATGGTCCTAACCTTTACTTATTTATTTTCTTTTATTTTTTTAAAGATTTTATTTATTTACTTTTAGAGAGGGAAGGGGGGGGAGAGAGGGAGAGAGAAAGAGAGAAAGAGAGAGAGAGAGAAACAGAGAAACAACAATGTGCAGTTGCTGGGGGTTATGGCCTGCAACCCAGGAATGTACCCTGGCTGGGAATCGAACCTGGGACACTTTGGTTCACAGCCCGCGCTCAATCCACTGAGCTACACCAGCCAGGGCTTTACTTATTTATTTTCATGTTTGTGAAACAGATATTTTAAATTTTATCTTTCAGTTACGGTGTACATTCAATATTATTTTGTATTTGTTTCAGATGTATGAGACTCATTTTTTTCAATGGAAATGCAGCTTGCCCAGGAAGTGCAGGAGGGTAAGACAGAGGAAGGCAGACTGCTTGATTTCGTGTTGGGAACAATCCCCAACAGGAGCCCAGAAAGAACACAGAATTCACTGTGATTTGCATGAACAGTTGTGAAGGAAAATGACGGTAGCTGTGCCCAGGAGGCAGCAATCTGAATGCCACGTCCAGGCTGCCAACCCCCCTTTTTAAAAAGGATTTTATTTATTTATTTTAGAGAGGAGAGGGAAGGGAGAGAAACATCCATATGTGCTTGCCTCTGGCATGCCCCCTACCCGGGACCTGGCCCGCAACCCAGGCATGTGACCTAGCCTGGGAATTGAACCTGCGACCCTTTGGCTCCCAGGCCCCTGCTCAATCCACTGAGCCACACCAGCCAGGGCCAGGCTGCCCCTTTTTCATTCACAAGCCACATGCCCCTATAGCCCACCCTGCTTCCCCCCTAACTCCCCCTCTCCATCCCTGTCACTGACTCACCGTAGGTGATCAATTTGCCCATGGGTTTGAGGAGGTTGTAGCCCTTGGTAGTATCTGACCCACCCAGAGGGTCCAGGACGATGTCCACGCCTGTCACGGAATAAGGGGGCCCAGGAACAGCATGAGAATCCCCCAGCCTAGAAACCCCCTCTCTGGCTCATGCCACGCCCTGCCCTGACCCCACCTTTGGGGGAGAACTTCTTGATCTCATCCACGTAGTCAGTCGTGTGGTAGTCAATGGGGTGTGTGACCCCGTTCTCCTTCAGCATCTCGTGCTTGCTGGCCGAGGCCGTCCCGAACACTGTCACGTTCTGCACCGTCCGGCACAGCTGCAGGGCAGCGATACCCACACCCCCTGCAACGAGACGTTTCACAAGGAGGGGCTACAGAGTCCCCCGGCCACCCCTCTCCATTCCTGCCTCTCAAGAACCGAGCCCGTCACCCTCATTTTGCCCGGGTTCATTTGGAGACTTGCTGCCCTCATCTTACGTCCAATTTCCGTGGCTGAGAATGGGGGGAAGGGTGGCTGCCTAGGAAGGGGTGCAGGGCGAGGGCACGTTGCTATGGATAGTACACCAGGCTAGACCTGGTGCCTGAATGTTGCCACAGCAACAATCCTGCAGAGGCCTTGGCGCCATAGGCCAAGGCAGCCACTGTTCCCATGACAACAGTCCAGACGTGCTGCAGAGCAGGGGCCTAGAAGAAAATCTGGGAGGCGTAAGGAGCGGGAATAAAGGGAAGGGGCCTGTTACCTGCAGCCATGTGTACCAAGACGCTGTGGCCAGGCCGCAGGTTGCCAAAATCAAAGAGGACCATGTACGCTGTGATGTAATTGACCAGCAAGGCGGCGGCTTCCTCAAAGGTCATGGCCTCAGGCATCAGGTAGGTCTGGGCCGAGGGAACAGTCACCTCCTCCTGCCACATGCCCGACCGGATGAACACCATCACGCGGTCCCCTACCTTGAAGAATGGAAGAGGAGCGTGATTCGGTCACTCACTCATTCACCCCCTGGCCGTTTATGATTTTCTGTTATGTATAAGGCCCTCTTCCTAGGAATGAAGTAGCAGCGGAAGCAGCAGCAGCAATAGTTGTGCTAATAATGATAATAATAGTAATGTCATCACAAACAATGGTAACTTACCTTTATTGAGCGCTTACCAAGGTCCAAGCCCTATTGTAAGTGCTTCACATATAAACATTTAATCCTCACACCAGCTCTTTGAGGTAGATACTATCCTTATCTCCACCTCATAGACCTTAGACTTCACTATTGTATCAGGTCCCTGATGCAAGAAGCTTACAGTTAGGGCAGCATGAAGCACTGTTAAAGAGATCAAACTGCCTCTCTTTAAAAAAAAAAAAAGGCCCCACTGTTTACTGGTGATGTGACTTTGAGCAAATAAACAATTACTTAACCTTTTTGAGCCCGTTTTCCTATCTATAAAATAGGGCAGATGTGAGGGTTAGATGGCAAAAAATCACTTAGTGATTTTTTTTTCTCTTTTTGCCAAATGTGAGCCACATGGTAGATACGTAGTAGTGTTAGCTAATAATAAAGACAACCATAATGACAGGAACAGTGGCTAGGAGGGGAGGTCACCCATCCAGTAACTGAAGGAAGAGGGAGAATGGGATCAGGGCCATATCTCAGCACAGGTAAAGATCTCTGAGGACTTTAGGACTGGGTGTGGTCACCTCAGGTGAAGTGTCTGAGTCAGCAGGGGGGAGGGCCCACTTTCACCCAGAGGCGGGGGGGGAGATAAGGAGAGCCACATAACC